GATGATCACGGAGTTCTCTGATCTTCAATATTTACGCGTGTTGCATATGAACCAATGGCTTTAAGGGGTGTTCAGTCTCTTGTTGTAGGGCTAGATAGCGCTCATGCTGAGAGCAAATGCCAGACCAGTGCATTCAATAACGCTGCGTCCATGCTTTGGGCTGCGTTCATTTTGCGTCGGCGTTTTGAGCGTTTCGAGTGTAAGCGTACGATAACGTCTTGAACGATAACGAATGTGAAAATATCGATCTGGTGTTTTGAGCGTTCGGCAGTCTTTTCAGCGACTTGTCGCGAGAGGTTAAAAACACCCGCGAAACGCACAAACCGCTCGATCGATATCCATACTTTCGCCAGTCGTTCAAAACGCTGCGGTACGCTCAACATGCTGGCGCGAAGTATGAACGCAGTCTAAGACTAAGGCATAACTGATCGTTCAGCCCATTAAATACGTAACGATCGCGTTCATCAGGCAATTTTCATACCCTGTGAATTGGTTTTCCGAATGGAAAAGTAGACCCTTTCTTCGTGGAGGAAGTGTTTCGGCAGTGCCAGTTTGCACTGGGGGTCCCCGCACCCTCAGTCCCTTCAACCGACTTGTGCTAGTTTCTCTAGCGCCCAGCTGCGTTTCCGTTTACCCGATCCATGGCTTACACGTGCTGTCCTTAACATTCCACTGCTTTCATCTTCTCAATTTCTTTTTTCGTGTGTGCCTCTGACAATGTCCTTTCGACAGCCGACATGTTTAAACTCTCTCCAGTGGCTCGTCCCTGCACTCCCTCGATTGATCATGCCTCCCATCAGTATCAGCGAAACATTTTTAATTTCTATCTTTTGCTAGGGAAATCTTGAGTAGTAAAAGTGTATGTGTCAAATTACATTTGGTGAAACACTACTGGTACTGCTATCGAGATCTGAATTTTTCGTGCGATCACTATTGTTGTTCATTTCTTATTATGTTTACTTGCCTATACGCAGATGGCTATTGTTTTGCCTCTGCCTCTATAAATAAAAATGTATTTTGACGTTTGAATTTCTTCCCATTACATTTTCAACCGCCTCGATCGATTGACCCACTGCCTCCGCTTGTAAATTCTTGGTGCAGGAAGGCACAGGGGTGCAATGCAAGCCCGAATGTAACATAGTAAGACCGTAATGTAGTCCGACCTTTTGTACAATAGGTAGTCGGAGGCGATGTTCAGCTAAGAGGGGGGGGGATTTTTATGATTATAATTGTAACGCATAGATTGAAATGCTCAGTCGCCATGGGACGTCTTGCACTTCTGTGCATGGTTAGGCAGCGTTCATACTTTGCGTCAACGTCTACCAGCAACGTCTCGAGCCAGCGCCAGCGACTAGGAAAGCATAGATATCGATCTAGGGAACACCTGTGTATGACCCTGTACAACAGCGTTTTCGGGGCAGTTTTGCTGAAACTCAAACTGCACGCAAAAACGCTGTCATACGCTAGTTTGCTGGATCGATATCCATACTTTCCTAGTCGCTGGCGCTGGCGTGCGCTCGAAACGCTGCCGCAGGCTGGCCACGCTGACGCAAAGTATGAGCGCAGCCTTAGGGGAACTCTGCACGTTGCTCGGCTTGGGAGGAGCGTTTTGTTGCAAGTTCATGTTGACTAAAAGGTTTTTCTCTGGTGAGGCCTGTAAGTCTTATGTAGCTGTGAAACAGTACATGTAAGCTACCGTGTTTCACAGGGTTTTGTACATGTTCCGCCTAGGACGGTTTGGGCGCGCGCTATGCCGGATTGTTGCCTTAAAATTACTTACTCTGGTCCGCAGTCCTTCACTGAAAGGGCTTGCGCTGACAAAGAGTGAGCTTGTGTTTCGAAAAGGATTTGTACTTCCTTGATAAAGCATTGGCAGTGTTGCAATTAGGCTCTCTTTTTTGTCAGGCGAGGTCCAAGCAGTGGGAGTGTGACAGTGAACAGACTGGAGGGGAGGGGGTCTGTGCAAAAGCGTGCCATACTTCGTGAGCGATGGAGCGAAAGGAATGGGCGGTGCTCAGAGTTCAGAACAGAAGGATCGATGGCGCTTAACGAGCGGATGGCCGGGGGGTGGGGGGAGTAATCACTGCTAGCTGCTTGTTCGACTTGTGTCTGCAAGAGGAGTAACTGGCAGCTGGCTATATGAGACGCTGCCGCTTGCCGGCCTCTCCTTCGCCAATACGCTTGGCGTCCGTACCTGAGTTATTTATACTTTTTCCGCGTGCAAAGACCTTCTCCAGTAACGCAGTGCCCGCCCGCGGCCTCGCCCCCAGCCCCCGGTTTCAGTAACGCATGCCCGCCCGGCCCCCCAAACCCCCGCCCCCACCGGTCCCCGCCGCCCCCCTCCGCCGCCCCGCCCCCTCTCGCCCCCCCCCCGGGCGCCCCTGGGTGGCCGCCCCCCCGCGCCGCCCCCCCACCCCGCCCCCCCGCCCCCCTCGGCCGGCCCGTCGGCCTGTCCCGCCCCCGCGGCCCTCGATCCGCCCCGGCCGCCCAAATTTTCTATTTTCTAGAAGCTGTGAAAAGCGGTGCCAGGAGGGGCAGGAATGCTTTTGATAAGGTGGAATGAAATGTTAGAAAAAAGGCGAGAAACCTGTTTGCCAAATTCGGTTGTGACTGGTCCCCTCTAAGTAATGAGTGAGTTCTCTATGAGGCCGGTAGGAGTGATCACACGTACGGAACAAAACATTTCATTGAAGGTTCGCGATATTTTGGTATTTTGTAAATTTCGGTCGGACATGGTAGCAGGGATGCTATACAGTGAGAAATAGCGAAAAAGTGGAGTGAAACGGTCAAAAACCTGCAAAGGAAAGACTTTGTTCGATACGACCTAGAAAGCTATTTCGGACGAGTTTCCCGTTAGCATTGTGCCAATAAACGCTACGGTAGATAGGCTGCATGTAGGTAAGTACATGTATGTACACATCATGCAGCACCGTAGCCGCTTCATATCTATCCTTTCGCTTCATGTTTTACTTAGCAAATGAAGCGATACGAGCACCAGCATCGGTCGGACATTTGTGGGCGGGCGGGCGCGATTGAGTGTTCCGGCCGGTATGTTGCAGCTTGAGAGGAAGCTCTAGGAGTACCTTCTTTAGAAAAGGCACCACGTAGCACCTGCTCAGGAATGCCAAAATCTTTCCTACTAGGCGTATTGATCCTACACGTCTTGGGAATTTATGAGCCACTTTGCTTCAAATAACAAGACATGATAAAAAAGCCCGGCGATCGTTAGGGAACAGGAGTGGACGAGGGGGAGGGCGCAGCTGTATGCGAAGAAAAGAACCGCCGTTGATCCTCTGGAGAGACGAATCTGCCGATAAAGGCCTCGCAGAACTCCTTCCTGTACTCAACCCACCAGCTTCTGCAAGTTCAAGAAGGTCTAAGAGTTTGGGAGCATTCCCTGACCCAATCTACGGTGGTCGCTCTTTTTGCTCTCTGGGTGCCTCCTTTTATTTGGCGGTCCGCCTTCTTTGATCCACATAGAGGAGTTCGTCCACCCATCCTGGAGCTCCTCTTCTAAACACAGCTGAATCCTCTTCGCTGGCTCACGATCGTTTTTCCGCATCTCCCTGGACCACATGCCGCCTGTCATAAAAAGCCGCGGAAAAAATGGCAAGTGCAAAAGAAGTTCGTGCCATTCCGTGGCTTTATAAGAGTTCTCAGGCCTCTAGAGAAGGCTCACGCTTTGACGCGAACAAAGACAGTGCCCCCTTTCAGCCGACTAACCTCTTCGATTCTGTAGAAAACAAAAATTGTAACACATTATCGATAACAATGTAGTAGTGCTGATAAGACTATGTCTTCGGATGATCGTGTTTGAAATTCGGCTTACACAAGTTTTTGGGATTATCCGATATTTTTTTTCATTTTAAGCAACACAGTGACAAAGGAAGTCAGCAATCATTTTGATTTATTGTGCACTTAGAGTGCGCTCGGACTTGCACGTACACGCTCGGCCGAGCTTCGCTGCGCGTGCCTCCTCGCGCCAGCGGCTTGGCTGCACTTGCACTCCATGTTAACACCTCCTTTAGTCATCAATTTTCCCCTCATCGCCGTCAATTTGCGACCTGCCATTCTCTTATCTCTTTCGTTTTTACCCATCTTTGGGGCGATTCCAATTTTCCAAGATATCCTTGGCATATGGTTAAAACTGCGTGAAGTGAGGTTTGGAGTGAGTACCCTTCGTCGGTGAGGGTGAGGGGGGGGGGTGGGGTAGTGAATTAGTCCAGCTCCTAATGCGACCCACGAGTCAAAGGCGAAACATAATTGCATGGGTATCTGCCTATTGTTTTCAACGGCGATAGCGAGAAGTGCAGGTGTCGTGTGATTAAACGCCAGTGCTATATCATCCGATCAATGAATTTGACGTTTCATGGCTACCACTACTTTTTTCATTGAGGATTGAGTCAGCAGTGCTCCTCTTGGCCCTAATGTGAAGTTTTACCGTGTTTCACTTCCTTGTTTTTAAATGGATGGTCAATCTGCAGAAAGTTACGTGTTTATGTTTACGATTTTGCCATTTTCTCGTCATTATTGGGCGCTGTTTGGCGACGTGGGAGGGGGGGAGAGAGAGCATTAGTCAAAGGAGTAGAAACCACTCCTCAAGTCTTGTAAAGCAGTGGAATACCATATAAATACCTTTCACCATGTCGGCTCGACGAGCTTACTCCGGTCACAAGAGTTCACAGGTTTCAACTGGGTAAGACTTGTAAACCGGAACAAATGAGGCAGCGAAAGTGCAAAATGCCCCCTCTCCCTATCTCTCCTTGTGTTGCTGTGCTGTGACAGTTCTAATTGTATGACTGCTGCATTTTCCACCATTTAGGGTACTGCTCATCAGACCAAGATGATTGGTCGGCGAATACCGGTTGTGCAACGATATGCCATCAGTGTTGCACGTCAGGTTAGTAGCAGAACCGGTTTTTCTGGGGAGTGACAAGTTTTTACGTCTCTCACTCTAATCCACTGCATTTCAGCGATTTTCCACCTCCCTTTCACCATGTCGAGCCATTTTGGCACGTAAGTAGCCAAGAAATTAATAATATTTCTTTCTCATGGCGGTTTTCTAAATATTTGTTCTCAGGCCACTCGCTGCCAGTGTCCAGTACACTTGCCAGAACTGTCAATCAGATCAGCTATATCCCCTTAAGAGCCATCCATGCAAGCGGTGTACGACGTAAGTTGTTTACCATTCATTTTTATGCTCTCTTTGAATTTCCATGAACGCAGTTCGGCTATAGCGGAGGGAGGGGGGGGGGAGGGGGCAATGGGCGAAGTAC